TGTAAACCTACCTAATCACCTCTGTTTGGCCTCATTATAGCCATTGGGCACAACACATATGAAGAAAGCATCAACACACAAAATCATCTGATTAATCAGCATCGCCAATGCACATCCTAGCAGGGAGAAGCCGGCATTAAAATATACATTTTCTTTCTGGCCTTCTTGTTATGTCAATTGAAAGCAGAAGAAAAGGAAAAAAAGCAAGAGCATGCAAATGTTGACAGTAGAAACTGTAATGTAGTTCTACAAAATATCTTGGTTAAATGTTTTATGGAGACTAATAGCTTAGTTACAGCTTAATACTCATTTGCCACAAGTGTTGTGGAGAAGAATACAAACTCTTCCCCGACTTGTTCATGCAAAGGAGGGAGCAGATTACTTGAGCTCAGGAAACTGGCCCCGTCCCCGCGCAACTTTCTGCTGGATGGAACCCTTCAATGTCCCCTCACTCTCCCTCAGAGAACTATTGAATTCAGTTACTAAGCTGGAAAGAGTGACTTGCTTGCTCCGTCATACCACAGGATGTAAAAGCGACCACGCAATTCTCCAAAGAGAGAAATTCATTTTCAGGATATGGAATCATAGGCTCGAACTATAATTTCTTAATAGCAGAGGTTTTCAGGGTTGATAGAAGCCTTTTCATCAAAAGAAACTGAGGCACAGAGGAGCAATTTGTCAAAATGTGGTTAGCAGTGTTGAGTGTTTGGCACGTTGAGTGGGGCAGAAGAGAGGTGATTGGGAGATTATTTATTAAAAGTGTGTAGTACAGTTCTTGGCTCATTCATTCATTCATTTCATTATTCACTTAAGAGCAGGGCACCGAGCACTAATTATATGTCAAATAATGTAGCAGGTGCTGAAGAAGACCAAGAAGGCTTCTCTCCTCTTGGAGCTTACAGTGTGGTAAGGGATATGGATGGCATATTAGTAAACGCCTCAATTAGCTACAGATTTCTATTGTGGTTACAGAGCAAATGAAGTAGAGTATAGGGACATGAGAAATGAGAAAAGAGTTTCTTCTCTTTTATCACTCAAGAGATGATCATGAAGATGAAGGCGACTTTAAGATGGAATTTTCCAGGCTTTGGCAATTGCAAGGACTGGGGCTATAATGTGGGAAAAGGAGGGCATGCCAGCTGACCAGGCAGGAGGTCCTGAAATGGATCATTGGATACAGAGGCCAGCAAGAAGGCCGAAAAGAGAGGTGAGGTCAGGTCCTTTGGGCCAGGAGGTTTTGTGTTAAGAGCATGCTCATTACATAGTAGATAAAATTAGCATCTCAGCTTCCATTTTCAATTGCAAAAGAGAAATAATACCAATTATACCAAGGGTTATTGCATTGATTAAATAAGATGGTTGCTTAACACCTGGCACCGTGCCACACACCAGCTGAAAGTTTCCTATGTAGAATATTCTTACCCGTTTCTTCATTCTTTAAATTCACCTCCTATGAGTCACTCCCTCAGTAAAATCACACTCAGTATGAATGAGGGTACATGTGTGGTGGGTGGTGAAGAGTCAGGGGGAGAATATGGAACTCGGGGAAGTGGAAGTGAGGAGGAGCTGAGTTTTCACCCTGAAGGTAGGTCAAGAGGAGAGCAGCACCTCAGGGAAGCATCAGGACCCAGCTGGGAGGGCGTGGGTGGGGAAGGGGAACAAGGACACGTGTAACCTGCTCAGTCATGGAGGAACTCTGTGTAGAAATTCAGGAAGATCGTTTGTTCCCATGAAAGCCCTGCTCTTCTGTAGCCTGATCAAGTCTTGACATTTGAATTTCAAACTAATTTGGGAGAAATAACTTTTCAGATTCTCATCATATAGTACTTGTTCCTATGAATGGAAATAATTACTTTGCTGGAGTGATTAGCATGCCCAAGAATAATTATAGACATTTGCCCAATTTTTACCTTTACATAAATGTCAAATGCCTTCCTTAAAGTGCATTTGACTTCTTCTGAAAAATCATTAAAAAGTGGGAAAATATGCCCACGGTGCAGGGAGGTAGAGGGCAAGGATGGAAAGCGCAGATGAGCAGAAAGCCGTGTTGCCCTGGCAGAGACAGCATTCTCAGCAATGTTTCTGGTCACAGAGAAAGTAAAAGCCCTTAATACTAACCTCATCTTGAGGGAACCAGCAGCATGTGGTCATGTTTCCCGGACGTTTCTGGGAGCCTATTTCAGAACGGTCGCCCATTCTGGGTTGTGGCCCCTCGAAGGGCAGTGAGCTCTGAGGTCAGGCATTCTGGAGACCACGTGGCAGCCGGCTGCTCAGACAGTGACCTTGTACGGGCCACTTGACCTATCTGAGCTTCTGTTTCCTCACTTCTGAAGTGAGAATGCCACACTTAACCTCAGGGGCTTGAGATTGGTGCCTTGATTATGTGGGACCTAGGTGTCTTCATTGGCATCTGATAAGACCCTTACTAAAGGAGATAAGTCCCCGTCTTTCTTTCCTTTCCTCAGGTAGAAAGACTGAGTGAGTGGTGGCCAGAATAAGAATCCAGAACGCCTGAATCAGCCTCCCTGCCTCCCTGCCTTTGTTTCTACAGGTTGCTGCCAGGGCTAATGCAGCGAGTTAAGCTGATCACATAGTGTGCTTGGGTCTGATTGAAAACTTGATAAAGCCCTGAGGTCATTTCAAGCACAACAGCCTCTGGAGGTCCAAATGGTCCCCATTAAGCTATCTCTGATTCTTGGCTATAATTTCAAAAAGAGCAATTGTGCTTTCCCATGCAATATGGTAGGGATCTCATGCTGGGACCTTTTAAAAAGTGTTCTTGTCTCCAAAATCTTTGCAGCTCATTAGTTTAGAATAAAAACCGAATGGACCATCTCATTGGTCCTTTTGTCCAAGCTTCACAGCCCATATTATCAGTAAAATAAGTGGGAAAAGTAAACAGAGTTTAGAACATAATAAGACAGAGAATGAAAAGCATCTGTGTCAATGTCTGGCCCCACACGGAACTAATTCCACGCGTCCTGCCCCAGCAGACCTGTTCTGGGCACTCCACTCTCGGAGCCTCTGCTTTTGCTTTTATTGTAATTGTCCTCTGAATGATGTACTCCCCAGGCTACTAGGAAATAGCCTGCTAGTTTAAGAACATCTAGGTGTACGTTTACTGAAATAGAGGAGAAAGCGTAGCAGCCCTCTAGCCCGCCTTCTGGGAGCGAGGGGGCCAGTTACCAGAGCCAGATGAGACCGTAGCAAAGAGAAGTGTCACCAGCAAATCATGCTCCTTACTGTAACGGACGCGCTCAGCTTGGGTTACAACAGGCTCCTGGGAAGGGACGCTGCTTTGTATTTTGAGGACCACACATAAAATCTGGGTGTTTTGCTCAATTCTAACCCACACTCCATTATATACTTTAATGAACTGTATTAAAATTCTTAAATGAAGCCTTAAGATAAAAGGCCCCTGACTGTATTTATTCACCTTTAAAGTTCTTCAGTTGTTGATATTACTGAGATATGTTTGCTTCCTTTACTGAGGGATAATTTTGAAAATCAAAGAATTATTAAAGCAACTAAAGTCTAGAAGTAAGTAACAGATACTGTCTGCCTAACCTGAGGGGCGGCACCCCACGGTGGAGAAGCACGGGGTGTGTGTCTCTGGCCAAGTCATTTCTCCTCTGGCCATGTGTGATGACTGGATATGGTGATGTTGGTGCTGGCTTTCCACTATAACTTTAAGTATGTTCTACAATTCTAAATGGATTTTTTTTTAGTATAATCATCCAGTGGATGATAGAGACTTCTGGTCGACTTTTGTGATTGTCTACTTTCAGTGCAATTAGAAACTTAATTCTGAGCTCAATGGCTGCAGAAAGATGCCCTGTGAGTCTGAGATGGAACGCCGGAGAATGACGCGAGATGACAGTTTAAAGAGAGCTCTTTCTAGGAATTCGAGAATCCACAGTTCTGTATTCTAGGAAATTACTGCCCAGTATCAATCAACAAGATAGCAACCCAGACCTTTTAAATGAGGGAGTGCAATAACAGCTTGTGTTATGCTACATAAGAACGTTGCCCGATGCCACAACAACCACTTAGATATAAAGAGATGCCTGGTAGTCCACACAAATACTATAACCCAGCTGCTTTTTCTCACTTTCTCTCAAGTGCAATCCCCTTGACCTTTTATTAATGCTTTTATTTTAAACATCTGGCTAGTCTTTTCAGATGTTTAGCAGAATCCCTGGCCACTACCCACTAATGGCCCATAAGTGTCTGTATCTCAAATATGACACCCCGAAGTGTCTTTTGGACATTGCCACAAGTCGCTGAGGGCAAAATCACGCTGAGTCAAGAACCATTAGTCTGTGCGTTATTTTTCCTAATTGTGCATTTTCTTTCTTAAGCAGAAGACCATGTGCTCAGAAATTATTACTCTATTATTGTGGTTATTATTCTGAACATTACTGCGTCTTTCATTTATGTAGGGTTTCACAACTTATCAAGTGTTTCCATCCACATTATCTGTGGATTTAATGCATCGAAGCTCTTTGTTTACAAAAAATTGGAAGAGAGAAGCAACTTTTTTGGTGAAAAGTTCCTGTCCACCTTTTTTGTGCTTAGACTCCCACTTTCTTGACATATGAGGTCTTGTCAGGAGGAAGATGCGTTTAGGCCAAGTCAGGCGTGGTGTGAGTGAAACCTGACCCAGTCCTTTCAAGAGACATTTGAGAAAGGGAGGGACAGGAGTTTAGTCACCTTGAAATGATACCCTTCTCTCCTCATCCGCTGCTGACAGGATTCATGTGCCACCCAATGCACATGTAAAAACACACGTCTACAGCCAAATACTGGCAGATGGACTCAGGGAATCCACAAACTCTTTGAACCCTTTGACTCTTTAAAAGGGGTCTGCAAATTGTAATCTTTCGCCTCAATTGGACTGCTACAGTTTTGTCAAACCATAGAAAGTGAAAATTAGATGGCATTTTAGAGAAAGAGATTAACATTCCCCCACACTTCCGCCTCCTCCCCAGCCCTCTTACCTGTTTGAGGATTTCAGCGGCTGTTTCATGCGAACAATCAAATATCACGTAGAACTCCTTGCCCTTCTTCATCTCCTTGAGTAAAGGCTTGGCATCCTTATTCCCAGAGGGCAGCTGGCGGATTTTGATTTTAATGTTGTATCTGGAGGGAGCTTTGATGAGCTCTTGCAGACGAATTAGACCTAGAAAATGACACCCAATCATAAACAGATAGCGTTCTGTCCAAAGAGTATTGTTTACTGCCATTTACAGTCAAGCTCATATCATCCCCCAAATGTATCAAGTGGCCGCCTTCTTAAAGGTCACACTATTGACTTCCCATTTGTCATCCCTCTTTCTGTGGTGGATTATACTAGTTTCCCTTTGTGGGCGTATGTGGCTTGGAAGCACAATTTTCCCAAGAGCATTTTAAATGTATTTAGAATGCAATTGTCCTTTCCCGCTTTCAGCCAACACCTCCAATCTTTAACAAATCAAATCTGCAAACTGTAAAACTTTTATAAGTAAAAAGTTGCTTGAAGTTTCCAAAAGTGACCAGTGAAATAGATAACACTTTGCTCACTTGAAAAGCCAGTAGAATACTAGATTTCTTGGAGGGTCCCAAGGTCTATGAGCCTTTCATCAAGTATATATAAATAACACATTGCGTGCCAGCTAATTAGTTTGGCTGCTTCATATAATTGTTCAGTTCCTGCCATATAAGCCATTTGTTAATGGCTCGTTATATTCTCTTGCTAATATATTTGAATGGTGAATTGGAAAATCCTTATTTGATTTAAAAAGTCATAAAAATTCTTGAGATTATGGTAATAAAAGCAGAAAGAAAATTTCTTAAAAATTCATCATCAGGGGTGGTGCCTGTGGCTCAAAGGAGTAGGGTGCTGGCCCCATATACCAGAGGTGGTGGGTTCAAACCTGACCCCGGCCAAAAACTGCAAAAAAAAAAAAAAAAAAATTCATCATCGGTAATTGCAGCAAAGTACTATATGGAACTGACAAGGGAAGTTAGATGCACGCCAGGTCCGACTCCACGGAGCTGCGCCCCCATCTGATGTTAACAGAGATGTTTCACTAGGACAGAGCAGACAGCAATATAAAGCTTCATCTCATTTCCCCTAAGGTTAACTGGTGCATGCTAGGACTTTGATCACTCTGGATGATTGACTTTTTAAAAAGTATATATTTCTGTGTCTTCCAGATTTGTCAACTTTAAATAATCAGTAGGGAATGTTAAGCTTTATGACTATTCAAATAGTAATAGTGGTGTGCACTGTGTACTATAGAGCATGGACTCCAGCTACCGCCAAATTTGAGGCATTTTCCTTTTGTTTTGCATGTGTGTGCATATGTGTGAGTGTGTGTGTTTGCTAGAAGCCACAGTGTTGTGGCCCCAAAGAGGCAAAGTTTCTGTTCCATCATAGGTAGGCTTGATTCTGACGTACAGTCAACTTATGATGGTGCTGCTCTTTGCAGTTGATGGGGGGGGGGGCCTTGATGTAGAATCGTATCAAGTTTTAGTGCTCATTATCCTTTTTAAAATCTTTTTACACAAAAGTTGAAATAGTTGGAATATTAGCCTTCCTGGATTGTTGTTCCTTTTCAAATCAGCCAACACGATTGGCATCTCTCCAGTGCTGGCAACGAGCCTCTTCTCACTCAGAGGCAAGTGCCTGAACCGCTGGGAGCACCAAGAAGCAAAGAATGGAGCACATGGACTCACAGGTGTGTTTTTTGCTGTCTTCCTTAATCCTCTTAATAACACTGTGATGCAAGCATGATTGTCATTGTCGCCACAAATGAGGAAAAGCCACAGCCTGAGGCAATGAGATAACTTACTCTGGGTTACAGAGACAGTTAGGAGGATCCTGTAATTACAGCTGTTACTTGTGAATCAGACACTCAGTCTTTTCACTTCCCCATCCTGCCTTACACAGACAAGTCACTGGTGCCGAGGGAGCAGCTAGAGCTGAGGAATGTTTGATGAGATGAGGGAAATACAGTGTCTGGGAACTATTCTCTGCTTCTTTTCTCCAGGCTGCGGGAGTCTCTCTCCTGTTTTCCCCTAACATTCTTCTGCTTTGTGATCACACACATGATTTGTTTTTTAACTTGACCATGACCACAAGAGATGGCTCGATGTGGCCTTTAAATGAAATGGAAAAAAAGAAATCTGAAAAGTGCATGTCATTTACTGCAGTGAGCTACTTTCTTGTTCTTTGCCGGGTAGAACGTCAATCCAGGCATGCACCTTGCCACTGTGAAGATTCACACGCACGTTTATGGGAGTGAAAGTGGACATGCACTCTCTCACTTCATTCATTCATATTTGTGGGAAAACATTCTGTGCGCACTGATTAAATACCAAGCCCCACAAATATGCCCTCAGGATGCAAGATGCGCGTTCTGCTGCCAGCTACTCTCGGTCCATGGGCGGATTTTAGGTGACAAATTAATAAGCACCTGCTTTTACAGCTGGGGCTGTTGGAGGCTGGAGCAAACTGCACAAGGTTCCATGGCTTCTAAGTAGCAAACCAGGATTTAAAGCCAAATCCACCTTCTGATAGCAAATCTAGGGCTCTTTCCTCCACACTGTGGCCCCTCCTGACTTTCCGATTTCAGGTCAACTAATTAAATGACTGACTAAAACTGTATACGTAAACAGAGAAAGAACCTTTAGACCCGCATAGATCAGTAAATCTTTACCAGGCACACAAGGCCACTAATAAACATATCTCCCTCCAAAAAGTGACCATCAACTTTCATAAAACAAAGTATATTTTAATACCAACAGAGGAAAAGGAAAACAGGTCGATGCAGAAAGAGCCATTTCTAACTGTAAGAAATTTGTCATTATCAAAACCTCATGACTAAGTTCCAACTTTTCTCATTTTGCCAGTATACGCATAACTTGGCTGCAGAAACTGGGGGGGTTGGGCAGATTGAAAGGTGAGAGATTCACACTGGAGGAAGAACAATAAGCCGGGAACAGGGAGGTTTACATTTCTTTTCTTGTTTGCTTAAGAGAAGCTTCTCTGTCTTCATTAGCAAATGATGTGGAATTTACAATTCAAAAGGCACGGGAGACCAAATGTGGAGAAAGCAGTCCCTGATATTTGCATTTTCCAGCAATCCATCAATCATTTATACTTCATTGTAATGAATAGTTAAAAATGATTTGCTAAATAAATAATTACTTTAGGGAAAGGAAATTGATTTAGACGCAACTCCCAGCTTTGCTAACCATCCTCCTGTGATCAGAAGCAGGCCCTGACGGGGTGATCCACCCTGCCCAGACTCCAGCTGCAGAGAATGGTAACAGTGCCCACAAAGCTGCTAATGGCATTTTATTTTCTGGCCCACTGAGGAGGAGGGACTTTAAAAATAAAATGTAGATAAGAGACAGCCAAACCATTAGGGCTCAGAAAACAATACTCCCAAACAAAGGCCGCAGAAGTAGCCTCAGGAGCAATTTTTTTTTTTCTGATCTCCTGCTCTCCTGTCTCTAAATCCCGTTCTCCCCTGAGGCTAATCCCACTCTTCCCCAAGGCAGGTCATAGAAACCAGATTCCCCTTTGCCCTAAAGCCAGCCATAAAACCTTAAAAAAAAATACTATCGCTTTCCCTGTGCTTTTTTTTTGTATAAACATTGGCCATAAAAAATGATCAGACCTACCTTGTTTGACTGCAGGTCATAAGACCCCCATTCCGGAGACAGTCCTGCCCCATTCTCAGGAGGAAGAAAGGCTCCTCAGAGAGGTCAGGAAGAATCTAGACCAGGGTTTTACAACCTTTTTTTTTTTTTTTTTTTTATCTCAAGGCACACTTGAACCTATAATTAAACTTCAGTGGCCCACTTAAATTATGTTGATCAAAAAAAAGTAAAAAGAAGAATATACTTACGGTGCTTTAGACTTCTTTTGAAAATAATTTAATGAATTATCTTTAAAAATTATGAAGGCACATCAAAGATCCTCTCATGGCACACTGGGTGAAAATCACTGCTCTGGACACACAAGCCTCGTTGGGTTTCCCCACTCAGTTGATTAGCATGAGATCATACCCTTTTTGTCCAAACATATTTCTACATGGTACTCTCTTGTGCCTAAGAGATATAGGATTCCACCACTCAGGGCTAGACAAGGAGCCTCCCCATTCTCTAGGCCCAGGGGAGCTCAGAGGTCAGATCCCCATTTCCAGGCACAAGCAGATTCCCTTTTTCAGGACACACCCTCTGGCCTCTGATAAGATCATGAACAAAGCAGCCTATGATGGTTTGTTGAGTGGTTCCACCTTGCATAAGAGCACACACCCTAATCCCTTCTCAGGGACAAAGACTGCAAAGGACATGATAACCTCCTCCTAGTGGAGGAGAAACTACATTCATTGATTTGTTAATGCACCCATTTCCACCTACCAACTACCAGCCCTATGTGATGCTCTACACCTAATACCCCTAGATAAAAGAGCCCATGTGGAGACTTCTGAGAGAGTTCTTCAGTTCCTTTCCCCTTCCAGAAGCTCTGGTGCTTTTTACTTTTTCTGTATTCCTTTCTAACTTCTAATAAAAATCCTATCTAACCACTGATCTGTGGTCCGTGGGTTCATTCTTTGAATCCCCGAGACCAAGGACCTACTGAAGAGGGAAATTCTGGTATCACAAGCATAAAAATTGACAATTTCCCCTGTATGTTTGGGTATTTCTTTCTGAAGGCTCCCATATGTATACATTAAATAAATAGTATGTCTTTTCTCCAATTAACTTTCCTTTTTAAAGTCAGTTTTTCAGCAAACTTTCAGAAGGCGAGGGAGAACTTTCTCTTGGCTCCTACAAAATCGAATTGCAGGGTAGTCACTGTGCAGTTTCCTGCATGGGATCATCATATGAGAGTGTGGTTATAACAAGGAAGGTCCTGGTTCTTAGGCAATTCACATTAACGTATTTACGGGTGAAAAGGTGTTTGCAACTTACTTTCAGATGGGTCAGTGGTGCTACTGCTTTGTACTATTTTTATTGCTGCTGAAGTTGTTTTTCTATTGAGAGAATGACAGAGCACTAAAGCCGGTGTGACCAAATGGTAACAACTAGGGCGTCCAGATGAAGGGGGTACAGGAGTTTACTGTGCATTCCTTGCAACTTTTCTCTAAGTTCAAACCTTTCCAAATAACCCCCCTCCCCAAAATG